CTTGAGCCACAGTCCGAAGTGGGGTTGGATGCGGAGGAAGGCCTCACACACGACAATGAATGCCGAGATGTTGAGGAAGGAGTTCGGGGCTAGATCATGGAAATCTAGCCCGTAATAGAATATAAGCCCGCGTACGAAAGGGTGGAGAGGAAACACTAACCCGCGGATGAAATGGGGGATTAAGACCACCCTCTCGTTGGGCTTCGGGGTGGGGACAATTTGTCCCTTGGCTGGAAGCCGGTGAGTGATTTCTTTCGCCAGATACCCGGCCTCCCGAAGCTTGGTGATGTCCTTCTCCCTAACGAGGAGGCCATCCACTTGCCTTGCCCTCTAGATTCGTACATGGTTGAGTGCTTCCTAAGGGCGGAAAGAATGAGGACTTGGGCGCTGGAGCTCGAGGATGGAAGGGCAGAGGAAGAGAGAAGGTGTGGGTGAAGAAAGGGGAATCCTTATCTCCTTATAAAGGCAGTGAATATCAAGCGCCTCCCCACTCGCCTTAAAACTCACCTGTTCCCAAGGGCTGTGTAAATAGCACAACTATATTACCCATGCCCGTATTGATGAGAATCCCGCAATAAGGGGACACGATCTTTGCTTTGACAAGACGTGCCTATTAAAACCACGTCTCGAAACATGGAACGGCAGACGAAAAACGATTCAAAATGATAACCAAGCAAACGTGATGTCACATTACAAAAAGTTGTCAGCGGATTGGACTCGTGTAATATTATATTCTCTGCGGTTGTGTGTGGTACTTGTGTTACGGATCCGGACATGTTCATTATGACCGAAAACTATCTTGGAGTATTCGGAAAGGGGAACCCGCCTTGCAATGCCGAAGATAGTCTGCACGCTGGACACCTCGTCATTGATGATTGGTTCAGGGGCTACTGAGGGAGTCCTGGACTAAGGGGTCCTCGGGCGTCCGACCTATTAGACATGGTCCAGACTGATGGGCTGTGAAAATACGAAGATCGAAGACTCTACCCATGTCCGGATGAGACTCTCCTTGGCATGAAAGGCAAGCTTGGTGTCCGAATATGAAGATTCCTTTCTCTGTAACCGACCTTGTGTAACCCTAGATCCCTCCGATGTCTATATAAACCGGAGGGCTAGGTCCGTAGAGAGATCCTCATAATCATAGTTAGATAGGCTAGACTTTTAGGGTTTAGCCATCATGATCTCGTGGTAGATCAACTCTTGTAATGCTCATATTCATCAAGATCAATCAAGCAGGAAGTAGGGTATTACCTTCATAGAGAGGGCCCGAACTTGGGTAAACATTGTGTCCCTTGTCTCGTCTTACCATCAACCTTAGACGCACAGTTCGGGACCCCCTACCCGAGATCCATCGGTTTTGACACCGACAGTGCCCCCTCTCGTAGTCCTATTCGGACTCCCCTAGGGGGGGGGGCCACCTCCTGGCTACTGCCCTCTCTCTACCCTAAGGCCCACTAAGGCCCATTACTTCCCCCCCCCCACGCGCGCGCGGGGGGGGGGGTCCGGGTAACCCCTCATGCACTCCGGTTTTATCCGAAACTATCCGAAACACTTCCAGTGTCCGAATAACATGGTCCAATATACCAATCTTTATGTGTCGACCATTTTGAGACTCCTCATCATGTCTGTGATCTCATCCGAGACTCCGAACAACCTTCGGTACATCAAATCACATAACTCATAATACAAATCGTCATCGAGCGTTAAGCGTGCGGACCCTACGGGTTCGAGAACTATGTAGACATGACCGAGACACATCTCCGGTCAATAACCAATAGCGGAACCTGGATGCTCATATTGTCTCCTACATATTCTACAAAGATCTTTATTGGTCAAACCGCATTACAACATACGTTGTTCCCTTTGTCGTCGGTATGTTACTTGCCCGAGATTCGATCGTCGGTATCATCATACCTAGTTCAATCTCGTTACCGGCAAGTCTCTTTACTCGTTCTGTAATGCATCATCCCGGAACTAACTCATTAGTCACATTGCTTGCAAGGCTTATAGTGATGTGCATTACCGAGAGGGCCCAGAGATACCTCTTCGACAATCGGAGTGACAAATCCTAATCTCGATCTATGCCAACTCAACAAACACCATCAGAGACACATGTAGAGCATCTTTATAATCACCCAGTTAAGTTGTGACGTTTGATAGCACACTAAGTGTTCCTCCGGTATTCAGGAGTTGCATAATCTCATAGTCATAGGAACATGTATAAGTCATGAAGAAAGCAAATAGCAATAAACTAAACGATCATAGTGCTAAGCTAACGGATGGGTCTTGTCCATCACGTCATTCTCTAATGATGTGATCCCGTTCATCAAATGACAACACATGTCTATGGCTAGGAAGCTTAACCATCTTTGATCAAAACGAGCTAGTCTAGTAAAGGCATACTAGGGACACTTTGTTTGTCTATGTATTCACACATGTACTAAGTTTCCGGTTAATACAATTCTAGCATGAATAATAAATATTTATCATGATATAATGAAATATAAATAACAACTTTATTATTGCCACTAGGGCATATTCCTTTAGTCCTTTTAGGTAGGAGGCACTCACACAGTTGTCTCATGAACTCCAACTTCCTCCTTCCCAAAAATAATGCAGTTGATGCAGTCCAGCCTCACCCTCGCATGTCCTAGTCGTTCTCATGCTGACTCTATGAAGCTAAAGAAGAAGCGACTGTAGAGTCGTTGATGAGTCATGTCGTGAAGTTGCACTCGCTTCAACCCCCGGCCAGTGTGGAAGGGTGATCCATACAGAAAATGGCAAAGGAGGTGGCGCTATGGCAAGCAAGAGGCAACCAAATGGCAAGAGGACTGCGTCAGCAACCGGGCAAGAGGCATTCTGCTTCCGGTTCAAGGCACCTCGGAGGCTTCTTAGAGGGTCAGAGCCCGAAGGCTCTAAGACACCTCGGAGTACCCAAGACTAAACAGGAGCAAACCCGCTTAGCTCGGAGGCCACTTGGAGTGTCCGAAGCACCTCCTAGCCTCACCGGAGAGGACTCATACATCTTAATGGGCTCTCTCTTCCATGGGATGTGCGTGTTTTGGCTTTGGCTTTGGTTTTGGTTCATCAATCCCCACATCTCAATCAATGGTGTGTCCCCTCTTTATAGCATGGCATACCTATGACTCAAGGATGAGAAACCATCGATAGAAAACTAGCTTGTCGTCTTCTTTATCCTTTTTGCTTAGGGGATTGCCGACCAACCATATGTTTCATTTCGCATATTTGTTTATCTTGTGTAAGCATTCAAAACATATTTAGTCTTCTAAACATAGTGCCATTAACACATAAAACCCTTCATTAGGAGTTTGATATCCTTTTAGGAGGCAGTGCTCCCACGGTTGTATGAAGACCTCCAACTCCCTCCTTGCCAAAACCAATGTAGTTGATGCAGTCCAGCCTTGTCCTCGCAAGTCCTAGTCATTCTCACGCTAACTCCATGAAGCTACAGGAGAAGCGACAGTTGAGTCGCCGACGATTCATGTCGTGAAGTTGCACTCGTTTCACCCCCGGCCTGTGTGGAAGGAAGATCCACACAGAAAAGGCAAAGGCAGTTCTATGGCAAGCAGGAGGCAGCCAAATGGTGAGAGGATGGCATCAACCAACGGGAAGGAGTGAATGAGAGGGTGAGGAAATCACGAGGAGAAAAGCGTGTGGTGGCAACAAGATCGAAATCCGCGAGGCCATGCACGAGACTTTGTTTTTTTGCTTGCGTTGTGAGGAAACAAACATATTAATACGGTAAACAGATCAGATGGCTTGGTTGCTGAAACTAATGAGGAGTGCCAGAATAAGCACACCTACTAAGATTTTAAATTGTTGCCATCCTTGGTCTCCTTGTCCCTTCACACATCAAGTTCCCCTATGGAAAATAGCACAAAAACCCAACCAAGGGCAGAAATATGAGATAACCATGTTAGGATCTTATGGCAGGAAACAAAAGAATGTCGGAACCGATGACAATGCAAATTACAACCAGTTTCTCATTTTTCATTGAGGGTTCTATGTAATCAGTAAAAAACATTAAGAGTGTGAGAAAAAAACTTGCACACCAAACAAACATTGAATCGCGTCCTAGACATATCGATAACTAAGAGTCTAAGATACATATTGATATGATTGATAATCACTGAAGTTCCACCGAACAGTGTTATGAACCTTGACAACCTTTCTTAGTGTATGTGTTACTAATAGTAAAGCGATGAAGCTTTGTTCATTGTGCAAACAAGAGAGCATGCCAAAAAGGCAAAAACTAAGAGTGCTCCCAAAAACTACTTTTCGTACAAAGATTGTTTGCCTCAACTTGAAAGAAAATCTGACGGGCAATTTATTTTTTTGTCGGCAAAATTAACCCCTTATCATTTTCAAGCCTCCACAACCATTTCCAGAAAAATCTTATTCATCATTGGCAAGTTAAGAGCAGACATTTGATTGGGGGTACACATTGACTAGGTAGTCTTTTTGTGCGTTGCCACAAAAGTCTGCCATAAAAAAATTGTTCCTTTTTTGACATTTTTTAGGGCTATAAGAGAGAAGCATGTAGAAAGGGTGTTGTATTGCTACTTACACTAGATTTGAGAAGAACTAATCTTCCACATATAAAGAACAAATTCTCTTGCCAACACATAGATATTTAAGACCAACGATTCCATTTTTCACTATTTGGCTTTCAAGAAAGCGAAGCCGACAAACAAGGTACACAAATTGGAGAGATCAATTAACCATACCAACATACTCCATAGAACTACACATACTGTTAATATAATAATACTGGAATGGTAGGTAGCTACTCATAGATAACAACAAAACATAGAACAGTCCGGTGAATAAAATGGGAATAGCAGATTCTTCGAAGGGCGGCCAACATAAGCGAGGTCCACCATAAAAAATCTCCATGTTTGCATTTCGGGGAAGCTTGAGTTGGCTTTTGAGATGACGAGGATGGAACTCGAGAGCAAAATGACTTTGCCACAAGCTCCTCAGTGTCCTCCTGAACTACCTTCCATTGCTGCATCAAGAATAACATGGGATAAATGACCATCAGAGGGTCCAAAATCAATTTATGGTCATGTTTTCTTATGCATCACAACACCAGAAAATAGCAACTATACAAAATATAAGAATCCTATTAAACCGTTCATCACCAAACCGGATCAACTAAGAGTTTGGTCACAAAAGTCTGCAACTGATTGGTAGATAATCTCAAAAAAGGCTGAAGGATAGCAAAACACGATGTAGTGAGAAGTAGCTATATCCGCACAGAGTTCACAATGACATCTCCAGGTCACATATATCTTCAGTTGCTTAGCTAACTAAATTTTACTTTACAATAATCCTTTTTAGTCTGTTTGGCTGCAATAATATCCTCTATAACTTGACAGTGAACAACCTATCATCCTTGTATTTGTTGGTCAATTTGAACACCCAAATATTTCAGAGGTTGAGAACCAGGCATGCGGGTAAATTTTGACAATACATGCTTCTCCATTTGAGTCTTGCCCATACAGTATGACGGGTCTCAGTATTTAATGCTAGACTCAGGAACCACATGTGAACAAAATGCAATCATCAGAATAAACATCTCAAAACCAATGTGGACTCTAGATCAGCAAACAACAAATGGTGCATAGGCCTTTGGATCAACAAACTAAGGGCGCATGTGTCTTTATTAATTGATTTGCATCCGTCAAGCTAGCTGAAGTTGTAACCAAATTTATATTTATTCATTAGGACATGAGTAGAAAGTGAACCCTACCTAGAGCAGTGGATAATAGAGATACACCACTAAAACATGTTCCAATCTCCATACTCAAACATACTCACAATCATAACACTTGCTTCACGAGAAAAACATTAACAAAGTACTTTGCCTCTAAGAAGAAATCAAATGATATACAAACAAGTATTAGCATAATTACCTGGAGTTATGTTCAGATATTTGGACAATCCAGAAGGGTGGGCTGAGGTAAAATATCCTTTGAGGGGAAATGGTGCCAAATCAACCAACTTCTTTTTCAGGTCGACGGCGATCATCCACGTCTTTATGTTGCAAAATTTGGATTTACACAACAAGTAAACAATATCATCACAATCACAGGTCAAGCTCAGGACAGGGTGAGATGCTAGCAGGTCCTTCAATGTCAACTCTCTTACATAGGTGTCACTCAGAGCCAGGTCAGGCAACAACTTAGAATGACTTGGGTAATCAACCGAGATTTCCTTGTCATAAGCCATGAATCCCTTGCTCCAATGGTCCCAAGAAGTCATCTTGTACCAAGTCATGGCCCTCCAACCCATTTCTTTGGGGTTCATCAAGCAGTGTGACTCATAGAGCGTATCCAAGTCATCATCCAACCTTTTGTCGACATCTGGTCTTTCATGTTTTTCTATCTCGACAAACTTGATCATACCATTTCTGTATGCAACATTCCGAAGCGGCCACGCGGACGATTTTGCTTTGTCCGTGTTGCCAGCCATCACCTTAGGCAATGTGATGAAGCGTGCCACAGGCATTTCGTCGAGCACATTGCAAAATAGAATCCCCCTCCAGAGATCAACCCATCCAAGTGTGCCTTCTCCAAACTGAATCACCTTGTAAGCTTGAATCGATGGCATCTGCGCTCTGACATTGGACGACACCTCCACCTGCGGCACTTTACGACTCCAAGCCCAGGTCCTGGAGGAGAAGACATGGAGGGCGAAATCCCAAGGGGCCGGTAAGTAGCACAACACGGCCAGGACGAAATGGTCGCCGTCATCGCGGGGCAGGAGGCCCAGATCCGAGGACGTGAGGACACGAGGGTAGGGGCCCGGGAGCAGGCGCAACGACGGCACGGGGCCTGCCTTGTAGACGAAGTACTCGCGCCCTCTGAGGGCGGGCATGAAGAGGACAGAGAGGATGAGAAAGTCATTCTCCGAGCAGACGATGCTGGGCCTGCCGCAGTTGGCCTCCGGAACTCCGGGACAGTGAATGCACAGGTAGGAGACGTCCAGCGGGTCGCTGACGCAGACAGTGACCTGGACGGTGTGGCCGGCGCTCGAGAAGGCCTCCGCGGTGGTAGCGTTCCTCACGTCGGCGAGGTACGCCTGCGGCTCGAGGAACACCCAGGCGGGGGCAGGGGCCGCGGGGTCGCGGGGCCGGTGCGGTGGGGGCTCGCATGTCACGGAGAAGATCTTGCTCATGGCGACTTTACTGCCGAAATCGAGCATGGTGCTCGGCGGCAGGGATGGGCGACGGGATCTATCAGGGTTTAGATCGGATCTGGAGTGGGAGCCGCGGCTGCGGCCCGAGGGTTTCTTGTGAGCGCTGAGGGAGAGGGGAGGCCGGTTGGGGGCAGCTAGAAATAAACTGGCTTTGCATCTTTCTTCACACTTGCTCCTTGTCGTGTTCCTGGCCCTTTTGCTGTTTTCACGCACGCGGTCGGTCTGTCCGTACCTAGCCCCTGAAATACAACGGCACAAGTTTTTTACTTTCATGATAATGAGAGAAAACACAAACCTTCCTTTTTGGAAAAGAAAAACACAAACCTTCGTTGCTGAGCTTCACTCTTTACCACCTGCGCTGTCAATTCACCATAACCACACACGCATAAGAAAATCTCGCCAATATATATTAAAAAAAAGATAATCCTACACCTACGAAGAGGCTATGAAGACCTACTTAAAATTCCAAACTATAAAGCTATCGCCCCCTGATTTTAACGGGGGGTGGGCCCCTCCTCACTAATCTATCCAATAAGCCCTCTACACGATGCTGGTTACGTAGAACACATAATAGATTTTACGTAAGTCTAGCATTGTCCTTAAAAAAAAACTGTACTGCTATGCTAGCCGGGCCTGCGACCACAGCGAGCTGCCAGCCTGCCACCCTCTTCCTCCTCTGTTGTCGTCGGCACCGGTGCTGCGTTGGCATTGGGGTACGAGAAGCCGTCGTGCAGGCGACTGTAACCTCACAGATTGATGGAGTCAGCACCTTTATCTTGGCCACTATAACCGTAACCGGCTGCGTCCAGCGCCACGACGAGGATATGTAAAAATCATATTTTGTCTGCCATCATTCGATATGTAAAAATCATATTTTGTCTGCCATCATTCTTTGTCAAAAATCGCGATTGATTTCCAAACATCTATAAACATTTTCACAATAGCCTTATTCACCATTGCCAAGTCAAGAACAACTCCCTGAACTTAGAGGTATCCACTGCCTCCCAAATGAATAGGTGAAAATTTTCCTTTTGTACCATCTAGCCACGAAAGTCTCATTTTAAAAAGTTAATTCCCTTTTCGACATTTTTCCACAAGCCATAAGAGAGACAAATGCACAAAAGGATACTGTATCTGTGTTGCTGCTTGGACAAGGCTTTATAAGAAATTATTAATTTTCCATGTATATATAACAGATTATTTTCCTGCCACTTCAACATATCTTTGACCAACAGTAAATTTTTCCATTACCAGGATTTGAGAGAAAGCAAACCAAAAGGTCTATACAAAGACCAGTTAACCAGAACAGTGTACACCATTCAACTAACACAGAAAGCTACGCTAATTATAAAACGATAGCCACTCAAAGGCAGAAGCAAAACACGGGATAGACCAGTAAATAAAATGGGAGCAGCAGAGTTGTGCAGAAGACGAGAACAGAGCTTGAGACACCAGAAAAATCTCCATGTTTGCGTTCTCAGGGAGGCTTGAGTTGGTTTCTGGACAGCGAGGATGGCGCTGGAGCACCACACATGCCCTTGTCACCAGCTCCTTCTCAGGGTCCTTCTGAAGTATCTTCTTCCTCTGCTGCATCAGAGACAGTGTGAGATGAATGCCCATCAAAGGCTCCAAAGCCACTCTTATGTTCATAGAGTTTCTTCCACGTCACAACACTATAAATAGCGCATATACCAAACATAAAAGCATCCTATAAAAAATCATTCATCCCCAAAACCTCACCAACTGGTCTGGAAATCCCCACAATTGTCAGGTATATTGCTAATTGAAGTTCAGTCATAAAAGGCAACAAAAAGAGCTACTAGACATAAAAAAAAAATGATGTGGTCAGAAGTTTCTACATGTCTACAGATTTGGCAGTGACATCTCCTGGCCACATACATTTTGCCAGTTGCTCGGCCGACTGAATTGTGTTTTCCTATGATCGAATGAGTTTGTCAACTGACATTATCCAAATATTTCAGAGGTGGCCGACCACACCTGCGGGTACATTTTAATCCTGATACATGTTTCTTCGTATGAATCTTACCCAGACAGTATAATTGCTTTCAGGATTTAATGCTAAACTCAGTAATGACATGTGAACAAGATAAAATATTCAGAATCAATATCATGAATGCAAGGTGGTCTTTAGATGAACAAACTAAGGGTAAATATGTGTTAGTCAATTGCTTAGCATCTGTCAAGGTATCTCAAGATCTAACCAAATTAATATTTGATCATCAGGACATGAGCTACTCAATTTGCATCCATGGTGACAGCAACCCAGACCAGCAGAGAATGAGATGCACAAAACACATTTAAGTACTCATAATAAACACACTTGCTTAACAAAAGAACATAATCAGAGTACTATGTCTCCAAGTTAAAATTGTATGATCTACAAACAAGCATTGGTATATTCACCTGGAGTTACGTTCAGATAATTGGACAGTTCAGAAGGGTGGGCTGGGCTGTAATATCCTTCGAGAGGAAATGGTGCCAATTCAACCAATATCTTCTTTTTCAGGTCAACAGTGATCAGCCATGACTTTTTGCTGCCAGATTTTGATTCACACAACATGTAAACAACATCATCACAATGATCTGCCAAGCTCGAGACAGGGTAAGATGCTAGCATGTCCTTTAGTGTCAACTCTCCGGCATTATCATCCGTCAGCTCAGGCATTAACACTGAATGCATTGGTTGGTCAACTGAGATTTCCTTATCATAAGCCACGGACCCCTTGCTCCAACGGTCACAAGAGAACCTTCTATACCATGTCATGGCCTTCCAGCCCATTACTTTGTGCTTCTTCAAGCAGTCTGCCTCGTAGAGTGTGTCAATGTCATCGAATGGCCTTTCATCAGGATCATGCCTTTGATGTTTCTCTATCTCGACATACTTGACCAAACCATCGCTGCAGGAGACGTTCCGAATGGGCCACGGGGATGACTTGGGGCCCTCCCTGTGGCCAGGCATCAGCGGGGGCAGCGGGATGAACCGCAGCACGGGCATTTCTTCGAGCACATTGCAGACCACAATCCCCCTCCAGAGATCAACCCATCCCACCGTGCCTTCTCCGAGCAGAATCACCTTGGAAGCTATGATGTGGGACACCTCAGCTCTGGCACCAGGTGACACGTCCCCCTCCACCTCCTTCACGCTCCAAGCCCAGGTCATGGAGGAGAACACATGGAGGTCATAGACCCAGCGTCCGAGCGTGAAGCACAGGACGGGCAGGAGGAAATGCGCGCCGTCGTCGCGGGGCACGAGCGCGACGTCGGCCTTGGTGAGGACGCGCGGGAAGGGGCCTGGGAGCAGGTGGAGGGACGGCCGGCCGGGCCCGGCCCTGTAGACGAAGTACTCCTTGAGGCCCTCCTTGGCGTAGGCGCCGAAGATGAAGACGACGGAGAGGACGAGGAGGTCCTTCTCGGAGCAGACGACGGTGGGCCGGTCGGAGAAGTCGGCGGCGGTGAGGCCGGGGCAGTGGACGCAGACGTGGGAGAGGCCCAGCGGGTCGGCGGCGCAGACGGTGACCCGGAAGGTGTGGCCCGTGCTGGAGGAGGCCTCCGCGGAGGTGGCGTTGGCGTGGTCGGCGATGTACCCCAGCGGCTCGAGGAGGAACCAGGCGGGCGGAGGGGCCGCGGCGTCGCGGGGAGGGAGCGGCGGGGCCTGGGAGGAGGCGGCGAAGATCTTGCGGATCCATTCCGTGTCCAAATCGAGCATCGTGCTCCGCGGCGGCGGCGGCGGGGCTGATCGATCGGGGTTTGGGGATCGCGCGCGGACTGGCAGCAGGCAGGGCTTTGGTCGGTTTGGCCTCGCCTCCGCCTGGCCGGGGTCGAATTGTGGGTTTTCTGGTTCCCCGTATGACGCGGTCAGGTGGATGGTGGATTTGGATTGGAATCGCGGCTGCACTCCCGTAACGGCGGCGAGGTCCACGGTCGCCGGCGCATGCGGGGATTTGGGGAACTGCTGAAAGGATGCCCTTTCCTTTTTTTTTCAAAGGGAAGGGAGAAAACTGCTGGATTTGTTGGGCTGAATTTGGGTTGGGCCCTTCTTCTTTTCATTTGCATGTTGATGTCCCAGGCGACGTGGGCCGGCTCAGTTCGAGGCAGGATTTTCGATGTTCTTCTGCATGGGTTTCTCTGGTTCGGTTTTCTGTGTATTTATTGTTTTATGTCCGTTTCTGTATGGATTTCTATGGTTCGGTTTTCTGTATTTTATTGATTTTTTTTCATTTTTCCTTTTTATTTTCTGCTTATTATTGTATTTTATATATTTTTATTTTTATTTCCTTGTTTATTGATCTATTTATTCTTCTGAATGCACGATTAATATTTCTTAAATACACGACAAACATTCCTCTACAGGAAGCTTTTTTTATATATACAAATAATTTTTTTAATACACAATAATTTTTTTAAATAGAGGGTCAATATTTTTAATATGCACAATGAACATTTTTTAACATATGTTTAACATCTTTTGACAATACATGATGAACATGTTTAAAATTCATGATGAGCATAGTTCAATACACCAGGATTTTTTTACATACACCATGAGCATGTTTTTCACAAATTAGTAAAAAATAAATGTTTATTTTTGGAACATTTTTTAAATATTACAAAAAGGAGGGAAAAAATAACCCGTATGTTGCTACTCGCAACGAGCAGACTATCGTCAGACATCGTAGTGGAACGGCTCACACCGGGGGAGATGTGGGCGACGGCTGTGTTGCATCACACAACAGGCGACATAGACGGTCCCATGTTCTCGGCTTATTTTCTTTTCTTTTTCTTCCAGGCATGTGCCATAAAATGCAACAAAGCAAGTTTTTCATTTACTTTTTAAAAAGTTTCCATTATTCATCGCTGCATGAACTTTGTACGGCATGACAGACTGAGCATAACTTAGTTGGTTTGGTTTCCTGTGGTAGAATGTGTCAAATTGTATTTAAATTTTCTCTTACTTTTGGACTGGGCATGGATGTTCGCATAAATTAAGGCTTTCCGGGGTTATTCTCTCACCGATATGGCTTGTTCGTCAACTATAAGGTTCATGTGGCAACTTTATCAATCTCAAGATTTGAGAGGTGTTCATGGGAGTACGATTAAGTTATGAGTTGTGTGTGTACGTTTATAGAGATGAATGTGCATGCGTCCGTATTGTGTTTCTCGAGAAATAAAAAGAACTTTGTACAGTAGTGTAAGAGAATGATTTGATCACCAGTATTTACACGACAAAAAGAATGCATCTTTTGATGAACAAAGGCGTACGAAACACTCGTTGGTACGCTGTTTAAATCTGACGGAACCGCGTACGCACTTTTGTTTCCTGAGATGTTAATTAAAGTTACCACTCCGCAAACCTTCCTTGCTTCAGTTTCACTCTCCGGGGTTGAATAAATAGCCATCTAACCTGGCCTATGAATTCACCACAGCCATATACACGCTCAACAAAAGCTCGCCAGTTAGCTTAGCTAGCTAGACTTAATAGGCAGCTAGCAACACCGTAGCTAGCTAGCCTGACACAGGCACACGCACAATGAGGTCACCGGCTGCCATCCTCTTCCTCCTCGCCGTCGTTGTCGCCGGCGCGGGCGCGGCGTCCGCGTTTGGATCCGAGAAGCCGCCGACCGTGGCCGTAGGCGTCGTCATGCCGGCGGACCCTCGCGGGCCGATGCTTGCGCGCTTCGCGGTGCTGGTGTACAGCCTGAGCCGGAACGCCAAGCTGACGTACGCCGGCGTGTCTGGCGTCGACCAGCGCCCCGACAAGGGCGGTGTCAGGTACCAGATGGTGGTCACCGCCGTCGACGCCGGCGGTGCCACGGCCAAGTACCGGGCGGTCATCTGGGGGGTCCCCGAGACCTCGCGGTGGACGCTTCTGCGGTTCAAGCGCATAAACTGATCCGTCCGGGTGCGTGCACGTAGCAGGACGGGGGATGGTCATGCATGTGTGTGCACGAGCGCATACTAACAGTATATGCATCTTGCCACTATATATGAGCGTACTACTGTACAACTACATCAGGCAACAAGCAAGTGAATAAATGGAGTCCGTCTACGTTGCAGAAGAAGACTGATGATTTATAAGTGTGTATGTGTCAATTCAGGAATGTTGATGGTAAAGTTTTTGTGTAAGCCTTGAGTAGCTTGAGGATGCGTGTGTATGTTTTGATCATCATCCAGAAGTACTCTTTTGTGTGTATCCATGGGTGTGCATGAGTGTTGATCATTCATGTGTGTGCATGGAAAAAAATTTATATGAAACCAGGTCTCACGGTTAGCAGGTGAGACCCGTCCTGATGGATGACACGTGACATTCACAAATCACAAAGCATCCCCCACCCCCCACTTAAAATCAGGGGGGAGAGAGATTAGATGCTTTGTGATTTGTGAATGCCACGTGTCATTCATCAGGATGGGTCTCGCATGAGACCTGGTCTCATAGAATTCTTTTTCGTGTGCATGAGGGCATAAATCATTATAATATTATATGCATGCATCTTGCCACTAGTATAGGCATGTACCAGTGTTCAACTAGCAGTACATGCAATCAAGTGGATGAACGGCTAGAGTCAGTTGTTGATCAAATAACCATCAAATCGGAGTAAAAAGATTTGAACTACAGTGGGTCCGGCTATTCGTGATCGTATAAAGCTCTAACAAGGGACACATGGTAAATCTTTATCTGTTATGTAGGTTATCTATTGTTGTGTGCATTGGTTTTGTTCGTGGTTTAGTCTTCATCAACCAATTGTTTATGATGGTGTGTATGTGATTGAGCAGGTTGTCAAGGAGCCTTTTGCTACACATGGATGGCGGCATAGTTCATGGATAACACCCACCTCCTCGCCTTACGCATGGTTCCAGTCTGCTATGACTTTGTTGTTTTTGACATTTTATATTTTATCATGCATGTAAGCGTTTTTTCAAAAAAAAAAATGCATGTAAGCGTTTATGTTGATTGTGTGCATCATAGCCATTCATAGGTGTGGATGTATGTTCATTATACTTAGTATTCCTTTGATGCTACATTATAAGTTAGTAAAACAGCTCTTTGCCCAGAAAAAGAACATCATGCACACTCTCAAATGAACTACTACATTGAGCTCCATGCCAAGGTTGAGTAGCCGATCTGCAAATTACTTCGTCGCTTCTAAATATATAAACCTTTTTAAAGATTTTAATAGGGACTAGTTACGATTATATATAGACACATTTTAAAGTGTCGATTTATTTATTTTGCTTTGTATATAATTCGTATTAAAATCTCTAAAAAGTCTTATTTGAAAACAGAGGGAGTAGGTATAACTGGCAACTTTTGCCCGGCAATGATTAAAACAAAATCATTCACATATCTTTGCGGCCATTGTCCACTCGAGTGAAACAGATCGTGCATCGTGCCATGTCAAACAGTCAACAGGGTTAGGTTAATTTGCATGCAAGGCCTGGCCAGCCGAGGATCCTTTGACCATGCATGCGTACAAGTCAGTAGATTTAACTCAGTCCTGATACTCCCTCTCTTTCAGTTTACACGGCGTGCGCGTACTTCTAGGTCATCAATTTGACCAACCTAATACAAGTCATATACTCAGTCCTGATACTTACAAAAAATATATCAATATAAACTTCAGACGTTCTATTTTCAAAAGGTATAATTTTTATGATAAAATTGGCAACCTATGCGTAGGACTTGTAAACTGTGACGGAGGGAGTAAGTCAAAAACAGCACCCGGGCGACTAACATGTGGGCCATATGTATATGTCTGCAAGATTTACTGTACAGTTTCTTTTCCTTGCCAGCAAATCACTACTTTAAGCCAAAATCTTTCGGATTCATTGCCCAATTCGCCTAGCCACGATAACTAGTACTTTTTTTAAAAACAATTAGTATATTCATTATCTGTCATGATAGTACAAGGAACACAAAAGATAATAAAAAGTATATCCAGGTCTGTAGACCATCTAGTGACAACCACAATCATTGGAGCAAAGCCAAAGGCGTGCCGCCATCATCGCCCCTCCCTCATCAGAGTCGGATAAAACTTGTTATAGTAACTAGTACCCACTTGGTTGTAGATAAGCTCTGGGCCCGGCACCCGACGTGCTAACCCTTGGTGTTGCCACAATTATACATGTAGTACGAGTCTAGCACACAGTCGTGTGTTTGATGTACATTATGTAAGAGTGTGTTGCATGCGTCATAGAGATGAGTATATGTAGGCATGCATCTAAAATTGTACTGTGTTAAAGAAAAAACCCGATGCATACTTCCTCCGTCCAAAAAATCTTGTCTCAAACTCTTTCCTCAAATGAATATATCTAGCACTAACTTGGTGCTAGATACATTCATTTGAGAAATAAGCTTTTTCGGACGGAGGAAGTACTAGCTAGTGGTTGGGACTTGGACCAGTCCATGTCTTAAACAAGAGTTCATCGATCGTCGTAGGAAGATCTCTCGAAGCACATCGCTGCAATTTAGAAAAGAGAAGCAAACAAAAACAAGTACTTGCATTAGTCAGAGTGATGGAAATCCATGCGTACGAGACGCAGAACTAACTTCGAAAAAGATCACACAAGATATTCTATTGAAGTCCACGAGGTCGGTCGGTTCATTTTACACGTGCAACTTGCATGCATGCTAAGTAGGAGTGCTATTACTTGATTTCGTTGCATGATCGCTCACGTACATGCCAGGGCAGCTTAACCAAAAGGCGGTGAGCCAGTGGACTTGGAGTACATCGATCAACGCGTACGTACGTTCGAACGATCGAATAGGGACAAGCTACGATGTTTGACCCGGCTCGTCTTTGAATGACATTTCGTCAAGTATTCTCAGGTTTTCCAAGACAGGAAGCAGTAATCTGTCACGTACGCGAGCGCAGCCCATTCCTCGTACTATCAGCGTGCATTGACCCATTTTTAATTATTTCCTTTACAGAAAAGTACGTGCATTGACATCGAGATCGCCATTGACGTACGAGTTGCAGTATATATCGAAGGCTGCATCATCCGCCAGGTGCACGGGGATGCTAACCCGTAAATCGGACACCGCATCTGTTCGTGGACAGGGAATCAATCCGCGGACATATGTGAGGGCTGACGATACAATGCTAACCACTGTATGTCTGTTAGTAAAGTGTAATTTAAAATTCAAATATGTCCGATCCGTAGCGCGCCGGACCACATCATCTACCGATCATAATCAAAAAAGAGGCAAGTATGCTCAGTTTTTACATGGCTGACAACAATAAAATATTTGTCCAATAGACCGTGCATTTTCCCCTGTCGGATCGTCAATCCGAGACTCCACGCTTAATCTGATGTAACCATCGTGTAGGGCGCCTCCGCTTTGGCATCCGCCTCCGTCTTTGGTAGGGTCTCCTCCATGTCCATGGGTCGGTGGCAGGAGGGAAGAAGAGAATGCGGGAAAATGCGGGAATTTGGTGGACAGCTACAAAAGTTCGAAATCCGCCTTAGATTTTGGTGGGCCAGGAATATCAGAGTACTACGTGGCTCGTGTCCGGACTCCGGCAAAGCCCCCCTCTCCTAGTTTGTTTCGACTTTGTAGGAAAATTATGGTCCGGATCGCTCAACAGATCAATGGGGTAGCTGGTCAATGTTGGATGACTTGCGGAGTTCAAACAGCTGCGTCCGAACGGATATATACGGTTTGAGAGTCGCCTTTTGGAGATTCCCTTAGAGCATTTCTAGCAGACCCCGTATAAGTTGTCAAACCCGCAAAATAACCGTTTTTTAATGTTTCAGTTTAAAAAACGAGTCAGAACAGACCCCTTAAAATCGTCCGATCCTTAAAAAATTTTAAGGGGCCCTGTGAACGCGACTCCGAAACACGCGACTCCGAAACCCTTATATCTACAGTTTTGAGGACAACTTGGCATTGCATACCGATCAATGTTGACAGTTGAGGAATCTCTGTTCCCACCAATGCCATGAAGCTCGCCCGGCAGCCCGTCCGCCGCCCGTCGGCTCGGCCGCCCGACCGCCTGTCCGCCCGACCGCCGCGCCCGGGCACCGCCTGTCCGCCCAGCCGCCGCGCCCGTCCGTGCTGCGAGCAAGCTAGCTAGCTAACCCAGGCCGCGTCTCTCGCTGGCGACGGAGGAGCTAGCTAGCTCGTCCCTGATGGATTCGAGCTGAGCTAGCTAGCTCGCTCCTGGATGGATTCGAGTTGAGCTAGCTAGCTAGCTCTCGATTGATTCGAGCCCCGACGGAGGCGATTGGCCGCTTTGTATGCTTCATATTTGGTCATCTGCGGCTTCATTTTTTGACCGCTTCTTGTGCTATCTATCAGTTTCGCGGGAGCAAGCTAACTGACCATGAACATAAACGAGAGGAAGAAGAAGACGTGGGGATATACAAAAATATTCTGTTTTATAGTTTAAGTTTGAGGGATCTGTTCTGCTGCAGCTAAAACCAACTCGTAAAAAAGTATATTCCGTGAATATCCTTTTATACGGGTCTGTTTTGCGGGGTCTGTCTCTGCGGTCGTCTGTGCCGACCTGCAAAACTGTTTTTCCGCAAACTGCAAACGCGTTTTACAAGTCGACGGGATGCGGAGTCTGCTAGAGATGCTCTTATTAGAAGAAAGAGATATTTAAATTAGTGCCCCTGGTTCCTTAGTTGTGCTCACTTTTCCCCACGCTTCAAACGTTTGCTCACTTTTCCCCTCTTCCTTAGCTGAAACTCCCACAAATGCTCATAGCGGGCGTTTGCCGTCTTGACCATCCATTGACCGTTAATTGCTGACGAGTGGGGCCGAGTCTTCGTCTGACTGTTGCTTGCTGACGTGTGGGACCGCAAGGAGACACGTATTGGGCAGCTTGTCTGAATATGAAACAGATCTAGATAGGCCGCACAGCATCGCGCCGCCCCGCCCCCTCCGTC